ACAGCGTATAAGGGTGATGTCACAGCACAACGGGAATCTAACAGGGGGAGAGGTGGAAGTCATCCTCCTCCTCCCACGACCACGCCATATCTGCCAAATGACCCTATGTAGGGGTAACAGTCCCTATTCTGCTCTGTGTCAGTGTGTATCAGGGGCTCTGAGGACAGGTGTCAATCCATATCTGCCAAGTGACCCTATGTAGGAGGAACAGTCCCTATTCTGGTCTGTGTCAGTGTGTATCAGGGATCCTTAGGACAGGTGTCAATCCATATCTGCCAAGTGACCCTATGTTGGGGTAACATTCCCTATTCTGCTCTGTGTCAGTGTGTATCAGGGATCCTTAGGACAGGTGTCAATCCATATCTGCCAAGTGACCCTATGTAGGGGAAACAGTCTCTATTCTGCTCCGTGTCAGTGTGTATCATGGTCCCTTAAGACAGGTGTCAATCCATATCTGCCAAGTGATCCTATGTAGGGGAAACAGTCTCTATTCTGCTCTGTGTCAGTGTGTATCATGATCTCTGAGGACAGGTGTCAATCCATATCTGCCAAGTGACTCTATGTAGGGGAAACAGTCTCTATTCTGCTCGGTGTCAGTGGGTATCAGGGGCTCCGAGGACAGGTGTCAATCCATATCTGCCAAGTGACCCTATGTAGGGGGAACAGTCCCTATTCTGCTCTGTGTCAGTGTGTATCATGGTCTATGAGGACAGGTGTCAATCCATATCTGCCAAGCGACCCTATGTAGGAGGAACAGTCTCTATTCTGCTCTGTGTCAGTGTGTATCAGGAGCTCTGAGGACAGGTGTCAATCCATATCTGCCAAGTGACCCTATGTAGGAGGAACAGTCTCTATTCTGCTCTGTGTCAGTGTGTATCATGGTCTCTGAGGACAGGTGTCAGTCCATATCTGCCAAGTGACCCTATGTAGGAGGAACAGTCTCTATTCTGCTCTGTGTCAGTGTGTATCAGGGGCTCTGAGGACAGGTGTCAATCCATATCTGCCAAGTGACCCTATGTAGGAGGAACAGTCTCTATTCTGCTTTGTGTCAGTGTGTATCATGGTCTCTGAGGACAGGTGTCAATCCATATATGCCAAGTGACCCTATGTAGGAGGAACAGTCTCTATTATGCTCTGTGTCAGTGTGTATCAGGAATCCTTAGGACAGGTGTCAATCCATATCTGCCAAGTGACCCTATGTAGGGGGACCAGTCTCTATTCTGCTCTGTGTCCGTGTGCATCAGGGGCTCTGAGGACAGGTGTCAATCCATATGTCAAGGTGTCAATATGTCATATGTCAATCCATATTCATTGTGATTTAGGAATGTTAGGTGATTTCTGCCCTTTATGGATTAAAACCAGACTCTGCATCAACTGTGTAATTTTCCATGGGAGTTTTGCCATGGATCCCCCTCGGGAATGCCACAGTCCAGGTGTTAGTCCCCTTGAAACAACTTTTCCATCACTATTGTGGCCAGAAAGAGTCCCTGTATGTTTTAAAATTCGCCTGCCCATTGAAGTCTATGGCGGTTCGCCTGGTTTGCCGGTTCGCGAACATTTGCGGAAAATTTCGTGTTCGCGACATCACTAAGCAGGACTTGTTCCATCTGCCTGCTCCATCTGTTCTGGCAGAAAATGATCCTGACACCTTCTTTATAAAGACACATTTTGGCTCTGGAGCCTAGCTCTTGTTCTCACCTGTCTTACAACACTGTAGCTGATCACAAACATCAATGAGCAGTGCAACCAGAAGACATGCCATTAGACTCTGTCACCACTAAGGACCCCATTTAGACATTGTTCCAAAAGGAACAGGACAATTTTTCTTCAAACAGTGCTGCCTATGGCTAGGTACTCAAAATAGTACATAAAATATAAACACAAAGCTTGTAAATAAAATACATACCTGTCACAGGAGCATTGGGGGAAAAAATCCAACTCCCATAACATTTTGCCTGCAATTCACACATATACAAATATATGCAAATGAGAGACAATGTATATTATTACATTGGCCTATATAAGCCACTTCCTGTCTCTGTACCTTTGCCAGATTATTGTGGTTCCTGTACTCTCTAATCAATCTTGTTCCTGTTTCTCCTACCTGTTGCTGAATTTGGACCGTTTTGACTTTGCTGCTATGCAGGTAGATCTAATAAGAGGGCCATTATCCAATGAAGAAAAACAGTGGCGACGCACTCACAGTTTATGCCTGTATTGTGGTAGTGCAGGGCATTATGCCATCAATTGCCCTAGCAAGTCCAAAAGAACAATAGCTATGACTGCTGAGGGTGCACAGATTCAACACCAATCCCAGATTTCAGACCAACTGGATTCTGTCACACAACCCTTGTTTTCTCTGGCTCAGGTTGAAGAGGGTATGATGACTCAACATCCTCATTTGGTGGTGCCTATCACTTTGCAATATGGTGATAATAAAATTTCAACTACAGCTATGATAGATTCTGGAGCAGGCGGAAACGTTATGGACATTAAATTTGCAGCAGGAAATAAAATTCAGTCTATCCCTAAATCTTCACCTGTGTTAATGGAAACAGTAGACGGTTCTCCACTTACGTCAGGCCCGGTTACACATGAGACTGTGCCCTTAAAATTGATTCTGGAAGTGAATCACCATGAGTCTTTATCTTTCCACCTAATTTCCTCAAAAGAGTTTCCAGTGATTTTGGGTATACCCTGGCTTGCTCTGCATAACCCACAGATTGATTGGAAGACTAGAACTTTGTCATTTCCTTCAGAACACTGCTTAATGAATTGTCAACCCTCTAAGGCAACACCTGTTGCCACAACAATTAATGAAATGGTTGCTACAAACTTAACTAAGCTTCCTCTACAATATTGGGATTTTGCAGATGTCTGTGATAAGAAGAATTCTGATCAGCTTCCACCTCACAGGCCTTATGATTGCCCCATAGAGCAGCTACCTGGAGCTGCTATCCCATTTGGTAGAGAGAAGGTCATGGGCAGAGAGGAGAGACTGAGAAGGGATCAGTGAAGAGATATAGGAGGGGCTAGAATTGGTCAGTGCTTTATAGGTGTGGATTAGTACCTTGAATTGACTCCTATAGGACACAATGTAAGCCAATGTCAGGACTGACAGAGGGGAGAGATGTGAAAAGAGCGACAGGAGGGGAAAATCAGTCTGGCTGCAGCATTCATTAGAGACTGTAGCGGGGCAATACGACTTGTGAGAAGACCTATTAGGAGAGAGTTACAATAATCCATGCGAGAGATTACGAGAGCATAGACAAGCTCTTAAGTAGCATCTTAAGCGTAAGAAAGGGACGGATGCGGGCTATGTTTTTAAGGTGGAATCTACAGGATTTGGTAACAGACTGGATGTGAGGCTCAAAGGTGAGGCCAGAATCAAGTATAACGCCAAGAGAGCGTGCTTGCAAGGATGGACTAATGAGGGGAACCACTACCTTGAAGGGAGAGGGAAGGAGGAGGATCAGTATTAGGAGGAGGAAAGACAAAGAGTTCAGTTTTAGCGAGATTGAGTTTCAAAAAGCGGAAGGACATCCAGTCAGAGATGGAAGAAAAGCAAGCAGTGACACATTGCAGGATGGCTGTGGAGAGGTCTGGGGAGGAGAGGTATATATGAGTGTCATCAGCGTACAGGTGGTATTGGAATCAATTAGGTAATAAGTTTGCGAAGAGAGGCAGTATAAAGAGAAAATTGAAGGGGAACAAGGACAGAGCCTTGGGGGACTCCAACAGAGACAGGACAAAAGTAGGAGGTATCATTAGAAAAGGAGACACTGAATGAGTGTTGGGAGAGATAGGCGGAACACCAAGAGAGGATAGTATCACAGAGACCAAGTGATTGAATAGTTTGGAGAAGGAGAACATGGTCAACAGTGTCAAAGGCAGCAGAGAGGTTAAGAAGAATTAGTATGCAGTAGTGCCCTTTGGATTTAGCTGTGATTAGGTTGTTAGTGACTTTAATAAGAGCAGTCTCAGTAGAGTGGAGGGGGTGGAAGCCAGACTGAAGAGGGTCAAGGAGAGAGTTGGAATGGAGGAAACAAGTCAGATGGGTAAAGACCATATAGATAAAGTACCATTCTAACTTTGCAAACTTTGTAAATGTATAACCTAATGGTATTTGTAATTGTAGGGGCTGTGTAATGTATTTATCTTTGTAATAAAAAGTGATATAAAGTAACAAATAAAACGTTACGCCAAAAGAATGTGTACAAGGTAGCAATGTTGCTAGTAAAAGAAAAATACAAGTGTATATAGTTTAATACTGTGTGAAATAAATAAACTAAGAATTTCAAATATAAGAATCACACTCACATGATAATGAACTGTTAGTCTATCTCTTTGTTGTATAGGCAGCAGCCATACAAATCCCCGCTATAGATATTAAAGTCGAAAAGAAATTCTAATGGAACATAACCTTCTCCAGCAATCAAGTGTAACGCTGTGCAATGCCTTGCAGTCCAATTCCTCCAAAGCTGTGTGATGTCTTGCTGAGCTCCAAGATATACTTGGAAAAGAAGTTGAAAAAAACTCAAAAAGTGTAATTCTGCGGTTTGTTAATAATATATATTAAAGTTTATATATACTCACACTTCTCTGAGCAAGGAACCCTGCTCAAGGTGACACAGTCTTAGGTGGCATTTATCCCCAACAATCTGACTTTTCTGGACAAGTCCAAAATCTTCTTTGGAAGTAAATCAAATCAATAAAAAATATATATAGATGTCGGTTGAATACATCATAAATAGTACCAATATCACTAACACATTTCGCCCTAAGGCTTTCTCATAGTGTTTATAATTACCAAAGTAAAAATTTGCAGTCTTTTTCCATATTTCTTTCAAAACAGGCATTTTTTACATAGCTCAAAAATACACACATATAAAAAAATCAGATGGGGGGGGGGGGCGTGGTCTGACTGCCGACCGTGATGGCCGCATAGCTCGAGAGCTCTTCACCCAATGCCCATAATTAAGCACTGTAACCCGCAACAGCCCTGGTAGAACCGAAGACAATCGTTCCCCAAACAACTTACAACCGACAACGGAGATGGGGTCCGGATATCCAGCCGCCGACCCACCAAAAAGAACCAGAAAGAAGCTCCATCGGCAACCCCCCAATTGAAGAACCCCCCCTTGAAGCATCCTCCAATGCCATGTTACACTCCCTGGCGGAGGTGAAGGGATACTTGGCGGAGGAAATCAAACACACAGCGGCGGAGGTCAAAGCCGAAATCACAGCCAGAGGGGCCAGGACCGTTATTCTTGAACAGCGCATGGAGCATGTTGTTACAGCTCATAACTCTGCCATGGCTCTCACCAATAGTCTGCTCCACAGGATCACTGACCTTGAGCTGGAATTAGAGGATGTTTCCAACCGATCGAGGCACAACAACCTGTGCATCAGAGGACTACCAGAAATCGTTGAAGAGGCAGACCTGGAGAAGGCTCTGGTAACGTGCTTCCGACAAAAACTCCCAGACATCCCAGAACACCTCTGGCTGGTAGATAGGGTGCACAGAGCCCTCCGGGCCCGGAGACCTAAACACAGCCCCCCAAGAGACGTTATCATGAAATGGCACTACTTTAAAACCAAAGAAGCCATACTCCGAGTCGGAAGAACAACGACGTTTGAAATCGATGGATCTGGTATACAGCTCTATCAGGACATTGCTCCAGCCACGCTCCTCTGGAGGAGGGAGTGGAGGCCGGTAATGGACCTGCTACGCACTAACAGCCTCAGATTCGCATGGGGTTACCCGTTCAAGATCCTTGTCTTCAACGGCCCTAAACCTGCAATACCCCTACCATCTACAGACATCGTTGCTTTCCTGAAGGGCCTGGACATTGATGTTCTGGAAGATTTTTCCCTCCCTACCACTGCTCCGGTGTCGCTACCCATGATACCTGACACCAGTAACGATATCTAAACCCGGTTGAACTGTATAACTGATCTTGCTCACAGAATGACGCAGGGGCCTGGCCAAGGCCACACGCAAGTTACACAGAGACTTAAAACTCCACGTGGTTCTCTCTTTCTTTCCAGCTCATCCTACTAACTGTTTACTTTGAGGGATTGTTATGACTTCTTCTGGGAACACATTGCTGTAACCTTTAGTATAGTCAGTACTGTCAAGTGCCTACCTGGGGAGAAAATTTAGATAGGACCGGGTGGAGTGCATCTCCCCCCATGATGGTGCCCACACAAATCTTTCCCAATAGCCCAATGTTAGGGCCTGGGTAATGCCACCCTAATCAATACCTTACTGGCCACACGCCAGCACGCGCAGACCTGGGGAAAAATAAATAAAAAAATAGCTGAATTAGATTACACACAGGCAGACATCAGAAGCTAAAAGGCACTCACACCCAGAAGCCTAGTGCTTAAGATGATCGGGGGTTGGGGGTGGCGGGCGGGATAGGGAAGGGAAGAAAGCACCAAAGTACCATATGAAGGGAAAAGACGATCATAATCCTTGGGTATGATGTAAATAGTAACATGTTTTATTTGTATTGTGATGTTGACCTACCAACTGAATAATCCAACCCTGTTATAGGAGGGGACGGTCTGAGCCGAACAGAATTGGATATTCTCATTGAACCCTGACCCCTGCAAAGCCACCGAGAGGCCCTCCCCCATACGGGAGCATTTATATGCTTACTCCCCTGAAGTTTCTCATGGGACCATTCAAACTCCCCTCGCCCCATACGGGCTATCTCCACTCAATGACTACCACAACTAGGGCTGTTCCACTAACCTACTTGGGCATTGCCAGGGTGCTACCAGGCTGAACTTCCCCCCAGTTTAAGGCGATTCCCTTGACGCGGTGGACGCCCACCCCCATAGCACCTGGCAAATAGTAAGACCTGGAAAAACAGTAGGAATACTGATTATTGTATTACTGTATTGTGCGATTAGACACTAGTTTGTTTGTTTATAGTTTATTGTTTTAAACGCATTTAAATCATTGACTTAGTGTAACACTTTATTGACAGGTGTTTTTTCACAGATAACCTTACCTCATCTCTCCACCCTCTCATTCCCTTCTCTCTCTCTTTCTTCTCTCCTCCAATGCCACAGCCGGGGGTGGGGACACCTACTTCGATACAGGCCCACAGCGGTCCCCGGTGTACTGCAGTAATTAAGGTAACCCTCTTGAAACATAACACTACCCTAAAATATGGACCTTAACCCCTTAAGGACCAAACTTCTGGAATAAAAGGGAATCATGACATGTCACACATGTCATGTGTCCTTAAGGGGTTAAACTGACTTCACTTAATGTGAACGGACTCAACATCCCCAATAAATGCAGACTCCTACTGAGGGAGCTTAGACGTCAGAAAGCAGATATTGCGTTCATCCAAGAAACGCATATAACCCGCACTTCCAAAGTACAACTTATAAACCACCTCTACAATAGAGCACACGAATCGCGTGCTCTTTGTAAGAGAAATGGGGTGGAAATACTCATACATAAAAGATGCCCCTTGCAAGTTACCAACGTCCAGACAGACACAGAGGGCCGATACGTGGTCCTGACAGGTGTTCTCCACGCAAACACATACCACCTAGTCAATGTATACGCTCCTAACACCCCTTCCCGACAGTTCTGGTCAGACCTTGAATTAATAATAACGACCCTACCTGGTCTTAGGAGGTGACCAAAATGCAGCGCCGTGCCCGGCAGCGAACCGATAAGGTGGACATCACCTTCCTTGGTCACAGAACAAAGGGGGCCAAGACAAACTTCTCAATGATTTCATCCAACGCACGGGACTACTAGACCCGTGGAGAATCCAACACCCGAGCCTGAGGGATTATACCTTCTACTCGGCGGTACACACTACTTCCTCACGTATTGACCTCTTCCTTGTAAACCAAGTAGCCATGCATTGGCTCAAGACTTCCGAGATAAATCTCATCTCTTGGTCTGACCATGCGGATATAGCACTTACCTTACGATACCCTGGCCCACACGCCCCATGGAAATGGAGACTTAATGCCTCCCTCATCAGAGATCCCCAAATTCAAGACACAATAAAGCAGGAGGTGACGCAGTACTTTCAAAACAATGACTCCCCTGACATCTCCCCGACCACTCTGTGGGCGGCCCACAAACCCGTAATACGGGGGGGTACTAATCAAACTGGCAACCCAACGGAAAAGGAAAAAATGCGAACAGTTACAGGACCTACAAAAACAACTACGTAAACTTGAAATGCAACATAAGCAGGCAGTAACCCCGACCACGACCAGGGAGCTACAAGGGATTAGGCGACTGCTCAGAGAACTTATGATTGATGACGTAAGTCAGGACTTGATACGCACAAAACGATTATACTACGAAAAGTCCAATAAAATGGACACTTTATTAGCAAAGGCCCTTAGACCCAAACGTAATATGACAGCCATCACTGCAGAGTCCTCACTAACCCTAATGACATTAACAGAGAGTTTACGCAATTCTTTGCAACCATCTACAATCACTCCCCCACCCTGGACGGAGACAACCACACCGATACAACCCGTGTCACTGCCTTTTTAGTTAATGCCCAGACTCCAAGACTCCCAGATGAACAGACTGCCTACTTGGGTGAACCCATAGCATTTGACATAATAAATAGAGCCATCGCAGCATTGAAGGGAGGTAAAGCCCGACGGGTTTGATGGCACGTACTATAAAATCCTACGTGAAGACTTGCTGCCCCACCTAGTTAAAATGTACAACACCCGGACCTCTCGACGGCAGACGTAGCCCTCATACCCAAACCGGACAGAGACTGTACGAACGTGGTGAACTACCGTCCCATATCCCTCGTTAACTTCGACATGAAGCTTTGCGCTAAAATCGTTGCCTTGATTGAACCTTATCCTCCCCAAGCTCATCCATGTGGATCAGGTGGGCTTTGTTCTGGCCAGACAATTATATGAAAATACTAGACGAGAAACTGATCTGATTTGGTGGGCGGGCAAGACGAAAACGCCTTCTCTGGTCCTATCCCTGGACGCAAAGAAGGCGTTTGACAGAATCCTATGGCACTATATGTTTGAGCTCCTCACTGCGATGCACTTCCCAACCACCTTTATTAGAGCAGTCCGAGCCCTATACACTTGTCCAAGAGCCCAAACGTTAGTCCCGGGATCATCACCGCTCCCTTTTGAACAGAAGAACGGTACCAAGCAAGGCTGCCCTCTATCCCCAGTCCTGTTCATACTGGCACTTGAACCATTGTTACATTTGATAAGAAACAATCCGAACATAAAAGGGATGACAGTGGCATCGGAGAGTTTTAAAGTCTCTGCCTATGCTGTTGACATCCTGCTCACCCTCACTGAACCATTGAATTCGGTCACCCCCCCTTGACCTACTAGACACTTACCAACTAATCTCAGGGTATAAAATAAATCTTGATAAATCAGTAGGCATGCCTCTGGGTATCTCAGAGGCAGACGTTCAACTGCTACAACAAACGACAAATCTTAAAATCACCCGCCAACCCATTAAATACCTAGGTGTCCGACTCACGCCACAATACGCTGACCTATACGCAGAGAATCACCAACGCCTGCTCCAGACCCTGCTCAAAGACCTTGACAGATGGCACGAGAAACCAATCTCGTGGATAGGGAGACTGCAATTAAAATGAACTTGCGACCACGCCTCCTATTCCTCTTTCAGGCACTCCCTGTGAGAGTAATTAAAAATGACCTGAAACCACTACAGACAGCGATAGGTAACTTCATTTGGGCCAAGAGGAGACATAGAATAGCTAGACATACTTTATATACCCCAAAAAGTAGGGGAGGATTGGGCCTTCCACACCTCTACTACCTGTCTCCCCAATTGGCACAAATAGTTGAATGGCACTCTCCACCAGACTCCCACAGATTGGTGGATCTGGAAACACTCCTCATGTGCACAGACCTTCCACAGTTCTGGATATGGTTCCCCAAGATTGATAGACCTGAACTCCGTACAACATGCCCCGCCATCCTGAACTCCATCAGGGTATGGGACACCACAGCACACAAATAACCTAACACATCCTCCCCCCTGGCCCACACCCCTGAGCGGTGGGTGGGGGCCCTAAATACAAATTGGGGGGACCTAATGTCCTACCCCTGGCACCCACCCCTGACCTCACCACTAACCCCATATCTTCGTAACAAAGCCTTCCCACCCAGTATGAGCCCTAGAGACTTTAAGGGACTGGAAGACACAGGGATCCATCGTTACTGTCACTTATACCACTCGGGCACCTTCCGAACTTATGATAACCTCAAGACACTACCTACACTCAACACAAAGGCTTATTTCAGGTACCTCCAGTTAAAGGATTTCACCAGGAGCCCCACTGTAGGAGCGGCCGCTAAGACCAGGC